CCCGGCTTCTTTTTATCTGTGTGTTTGGGAGAAGACAAAGAAGAAAAATCAGAGGAAAGGAAAGAAACAAGAGGGGAAAAAGGAGTCACAGCATGAAGAGAGAAGGCGGTTGGGTCCCACGTCCTGTAATAACAGGTGCCAACTCAATATTGATTTAACAAGAAATCGTGTGCTATTAAACAAGATGATAAGTGTGGGAAGAAGGAACTAATCAGCAGGTAGGCATGGCAGAACTCTTGCTCATTCAAACCGATTCTCACCTCAGGCAAAACATAGCATCTGCAGAGAAGGGACAACCTCTGACCAAGAGCCAGAAGCAATCCACCCAACTTGTCCTCCTCTCTTCTCCCCAACCTCTTCAACTCGCAACCCAACGAGGACTGCAAGTGATACTTCCAGAAAAGTAACTCTAGATGATTTAAGAGACCCACACTGAAAGACAAAATCCCCTTGGAAATCTGTCAGAACTCCCAACAAAATCCCTTGCATCCTCCTGACCCAAATAGGGAGCACCAGACCTTGTGTGCCGCCTGGAAGATCTGCCTGCCATACCAACCCAACACACCAACATCCTACTCTGGATTGTGGAAACTCACTGGTTGTGTTTCCAGTGGTAAATCAGAGTCCATAGCTTATTTCTGTCTGCATCTCAACCTTCCCTTGCAATGCTGTGAGGCAGGACAAGCTGTGATGCAAGGATGCTGGATGATACGGCTCAGATTCGAGCCTGGAAGTCTCATTGCTATAACCATGACTGTGTCCATTGTATCCCTCCATCTCTTGGGCTAGGAAGGAAAAGTAAGGCTGCATCTGCACTGCAGCTTGACACTGCTTTAACCATGGCTCAATGTTATGGGATCCTGGGATTTGTAGCTTATTGTGGCACCAGAGCACTCTGACAGAGAAGGCTAGATATCTCTCAAAACTACACATCCCAGAATCCCACAGCATTGAGCCACGGCAGTTAAAGTGGTCTCAAACTGGATTATTTCTGCAGTGCAGCTTCAGCTTGTGATGCTGTGGAATAACCACTGTAGAAATATTCAATGGGAAACTGGGAGCCACAGAATGATGCCTTGGTGCAAGTTGGGCGAATGATGAAAAACACCACTCAAGAAATGCAGTATTTTTGGCAGGAAGATAAGGAACATGAACAGAGGAGATGCTGGAAGACTGGAGAGTGACACAGAAAGCGAGCAAAGAAAGGAAGACAGTGCAGGTATATCTCGGATGACCTTGCTCCAAATGTCGGCACTTAATAGCATTAGATGAGTGCCAGTAAAAAGCAGGACTTTTTGCACGGTGTCTCCAGAACTAAGGTACAGCCTCTGTAAGTGATACAGCCATTTGCCATCCTTCAAGAAGGAGTGAGTGTGTATCTCCAACAGCACTGCCTAAACTTGATGTCTGATAATAAACTTGGTGGGAGGTTTTTCTTGGCTGTTCTGTTGTCTGGTTTCTATTATCCATCTTTGCAAGTCTAACTGCGGCTGTCATTTTCAATGTTGTGGGTGTTTGGATCCATGATTTATAACTACTTGTTGTTATGTAAGCCATCTCAGGAGCCAGGCCAGTACAGAGTAAACAAGCATTCCCAAACTGAATGTCTGTCAGAGACATTAGGATTACAACCCCCATCATCCTAGCTAATATGGCCAAGGGTGATGAGAAGAGTTGCAGGTGAGAACACCTGCGGAAGGGTTCCAGGATCAGGAAAGGTG